GAACATAAGGGTCTGATGTCTGCACTCTCACCTGAAGAAAATCTAAAGGGTCAAAGAAAAGATGACTAGCTACTTTGATGGAAGGAGTGATAATTGGCCTGCATTTCCAGAGTTCTTGAAGGCAAAGATTGTGTCTTCTGTTGTGGTAGATATGATGCCTGAAAGACTTGTTTCTTCAACCACTGGAAGTGATGCCAACAGACAGTCCTCCACCATCAGTCTCCTGGGGACTGCTTTAGCTGAAGATGATAACTAGCTGGTATAGGCAGAGAAGGCAATGGCACTCCACTCCAGTACTCTTGCCTGGAATATCCCATGGACGGAGGAGCCTAGTAGGCTGCAGTCCATGGGGTCACTAAGAATCGGGCACAACTGAGCGACTTCACTTTCACTTTTCACTTTCATGCATTGGAGAAGGAAATGGCAACCCACTCAGTGTTCTTGCCTGGAGAATCCCAGGGATGGGGGAGCCTGGTGGGCTGCCGTCTATGGGGTCGCACAGAGTCAGACATGACTGAAGCGACTTAGCAGCAGCAGCTGGTATAGGGGTATAAAGTCCCAGTTTAGAAAAAGTAGAAAAATTCTGCAGGGCCAGCTTCAAAACTTCCTTAGACTGGCTAAGGCCTCTGTTGAGATTGTAGCAAAGCTCAACCTATCCTGCTAATCAATTTAGCTTCTTTTCCTTCCTTTCTTTCTCTCCACTCTTCTCCAGGAGCATGTTGGACACCTACTGACCTAGGGGTTCATCTAGCAGTGTTATATTTTTTTGCCTTTTCATACTGTTAATGGGGTTCTCAAGACATGAATGCTGAAGTGGTTTACCATTCCCCTCTCCAGTGGACCACATTTTATCAGAACTCTCCACCATGACCCGTTTATCTTGTGTGAGCCTACACAGCATGGCTGATAGTTTCACTGAGTTACACAAAACTATGATCCACATGATCATTTTGGTTAGTTTTCTGTGACTGTGGTTTTCATTCTGCTCTCTGATGAATGAGGATAACACTGAAAGATGAAGCCCCCAGGTCAATAGGTATCCAATATGCTACTAGAGAAGAGCAGAAAAATAGCTCTAGGAGGAATGTAGAGGCTGAGCCAAAGCAGAAGCAATGCCCAGTTGTAGATGTGTCTGGTGGGGAAGTAAAGTCCCATGCCATAAAGAACGATATTGCATAGGAACATGGAATGGGAAGTCCACAAATCAAGATAAAATTGGAAGTGGTCAAACAGGAGCAAAAGCAAGAGTGAAATCAACATTTTATGATTCACTGAGCTAAATGGATGAGAAGAAGTGAATTTAATTGATGACCATGATATCTAACCCCTTAGAGAAATGGAGTAGCCCTCAAAGTCAAAGAAAGAATCTGAAATGCAGAACTTGGGTGCAGTCTCAAAAATGGCAGATTGATCTCAGGCTCATTTCCAGGGCAAACCATTTTATATTACAGTAATCCAAGTCTAAGCCCCAATCTTTAATATAAAGAAGATGAATTTGAACAATTCTATGAAGACCTACAAGACCTCCTAGAACTAACACTAAAAAAAAAAATATGTTCTTTTCATCATAGGAGACTGGAATGCCAAAGTAGGAAGTCAAGAGATACCTGTAACAGGCAAGTTTTGCCTTGGAGTACAAAATGAAGCAGGGCAAAGGCTAACAGAGTTTTGCCAAGAGCACACACTGGTCATAGCAAACACCCTCTTCCAACAGCACAAGAGATGACTCTACACATGGACATCACCAGATGGTCAATATGGAAATCAGATTGATTATATGCTTTGCAGCTGAAGAGAGAAAAGTTCTATACAGTTAGCAAAAACAAGACCTGGAGCTGACTGCAGGCTCCTTATTGCAAAATTCAGGCTCAAATTTAAGAAATTAGGGAAACCCACTAGGCCAATCAGGTATGATCTAAATCAAATTCTTTATGATTATACAGTGGAGGTGATGGATAGATTCAAGGGACTAGGATCTAGTAGACAGAGTGACTGAAGAACTATGGATGGATGTTCATACATTGTACAGAATGTACATAATGTACATACCATGTACATGTACATGTTCATACCATTGTACAGAAGGTGGTGAATAAAAACATCCCCAAGAGGGGGAAAAATGTAAGATGGCAAAATGGTTGTCTGAGGAGGCCTTACAAATAGCTGAGAAAAGAAGAGATGCAAAAAGCTGAGGAGTAAAGGAAAGATATACCTATCTGAATGCAGAGTACCAAAGAGTAGAAAGGCTTCTTAAGTAAACAATGCAAAGAAATAGAGGAAAACAAAAGAATGAGAAAGTCTAGAGAGCTCTTCAAGAAAATTAGAGATACCCAAGGGAACATTTAATGCAAAAATGGGCACAATAAAGGACAGAAACAGTCCTGACCTAACAGAAGCAGAAGAGGTGGCAAGACTATACAGAAGAGCTGTACAAAAAAGGTCTTGACGACCTAGATAACCACGATGTTGTGGGCATTCACCTAGAGCCAGATATCCTGGAGTGTGAAGTCAACTGGGCATTTGCAAGCTTTACTATGAACAAAGTTAGTGAAGACGACTGAATTCCAGCTGAGCTATTTCAAATCCTAAAAGATGGTGCTGTTAAAGCGCTGCACTCAATATGTCAGCAAATTTGGAAAACTCAGCAGTGGCCACAAGACCAGAAAAGGTCAATTTTCATTCTAATCCCAAAGAAGAGCAATGTCAAAGAATGTTCAAACTATCACACAACTTCATTCATTTCACATGCTAGCAAGGCAAGGCTCAAAATCCTTCAGGCTAGGCTTCAACATTATGTGAACTGAGAACTTCCAGATGTACAAGCTGGATTTAGAAATGGCAGAGGAACCAGAGATAAAATTGCCAATATCTGCTGAATTATAGAAAAAGCAAAGGAATTCCAGAAAAAAACATCTACTTCTGCTTCATTGACTATGTTAAAGCCTTTGAATATGCAGATCACAACAAACTGTGGGAAACTCTTCAAGAGATGGGAATACCAGACAGCCTTACCTGCCTCCTGAGAAACTTGCATGCAGGTCAAGAAGCAGCAATCAGAACCAGACATGGAACAAAGGACTGGTTCCAAATCAGCAAAGGAGTACGTCAAGGCTGTGTGTTGTCACCTTGCTTATTTAATTTATATGCAGAGTACATCACGTGAAATGCCGGGCTGAATGATGCACAAGCCGGAATCAAGATTTCTGGGAGAAATATCAATAATCTCAGATATGCAGATGACACCACCATAAAGGCAGAAAGCGAAGAGGAACTAAACAGCCTCTTGATGAAGGTGAAAAAGCAGAGAAAAAGCTGGCTTAAGACTCAACATTCAAAAAACTAAGAACATGGCATCTGGTCCCATCACTTCACAGCAAAGAGATGGGGGGAAAATGGAAACAGTAACATATTTATTTACTTGGGCTCCAAAATCAATGCAGACTGGATTGGTGACTGCAGCCATGAAATTAAAAGACACTTGCTTCTTGGAATAAAAGCTATAACAAACGTAGACAGCATATTAAAAAGGAGAGACTCACTTTGCCAACAAAGGTCCTTATAGTCAAAATTATGGTTTTTCCAGTGGTCATGTAAGATTTGAACCATAAAGAAGGCTGAGAATCAAAGAATTGATGCTTTTGTTCTGTGGTGCTGGAGAAGACTCATGAGAGTCTGCCCAACAGCAAGGAGATCAAACCAGTCAATTCTAAAGGAAATAAACCCAGAATATTCACTGGAAGGACTGATGCTGAAGCAAAGCTTCACTACTGCGGCCCCCTGATGGGAAGAGCCGACTCATTGGAAAACACTGTAATCTGGGAATGATAAAGGTCAGGAGGAGAAGGGGACGACAGAGGACGAGATGGTTGGATGGCAGCACCAACTCAATGGACAAGAGTTTGAGCATGATCCAGGAAATGAAGGACAGGAAGCCTGGTGTGCTGCAGCCCATGGAGTCGCAGAGAGTTGGACACTACTGAGCAACTGTCACCTGTCCTCCTACCCAGGGTTCCAAACCTGGAGAGGCTAGAAACTTGGCGGAGGGGCAAGAGCACAAGATAGCATAAGCAAGATGACAACCCCACTCTTTTCCTGACTTAAAAGTTTAAAAGTTTCCCCATCTCTTCATTTTTTATGATATGGCTCATAGTGGATCCTTTCATTCAATGGGTGAAATGTACCATATGCCTCTGAAGTGCAGGTCTCCAATGCCCCATGTTGCAAAAAGTCAAACTTTCACCTCGTCTAAGGTGAAACTGGTGGTCTCAGGCTGTAAAGCCTAGAAGTATTGTCTTGGCTGGTACTATGTCTCTCTGGTCATTCCAACTGCAGGCATATAGCAGTCGCTCAATACATTTTTGATTTCCTAACTGCCTTCGGGTTTGATCCCTGAGTCGGGAAGATCCCCTAGAGGAGGAAAAGGCAAACCCACTCCAGTATTCTTGCAGGGATAATCCCATGAGCAGAGGAGCCTGGCAGGCTACAGTCCATGGGATCCTAAAAAGTGGGACCGACTGAGCACACACGCATGCAAACTGCCTTCCGGAAGAAGAGCAGCGTCTGGAAAGGCCGCAGCACAGAAGCTGCAGCAACAGAAGTGGAGGAACAAGGGGCCCCAGGCCAGAGCCCAGTGTGAGGCACGCGCCCGTGGGGAAGTCTTGGCCAGGTAGAGGGAACTGTGAGAAGCCTACTTGCGCCCTCCTGTAGGCACTGACAAAGTGCTGTGGCGGGCCAGAGCCACATCCCGGCTACTCGCTGCGACACGCGGACTCCTCGCCCAGCTCCGAGCTGGCGAACTCCGCTACCGAGCCCAGCCCAGCCCTTCTGCCCCGCCCCATCCGTTCTGCTCCTCTGGCCCCGCCCTGTCCTTGCCCCGCCCACCGGCCCGCCCCTCCTTGATATGATAGCCCCGCCCCTTCCTGCTGCCCCGCCTCATCCCTCCGGTCGTGTCCCGCCCCGTCCTGGTACCCTGCTGGCAATTAGCAGCGCCAGCCGGCGCCATGGGTACCGCTTCTTCGCTCGTGAGCCCCGCGGGCGGGGAGGTGATCGAGGACACGTACGGGGCGGGCGGCGGCGAGGCCTGTGAGATCCCGGTGGAGGTGAAGCCCAAGGCCCGCCTGCTGCGCAGCTCGTTCCGCCGGGCCCCGGGTGTGGCGGCTGCGGGAGCCGGGCCGGGTTCGCTGCCCCGTGGAGCGGGCGGCGGCGGGCTGCTAGGGGCCAGCTTCAAGTCTACTGGTTCGTCGGTGCCCGAGCTGGAATACGCGGCTGCTGAGTACGAGCGGCTGAAGAAGGAGTACGAGATCTTCCGGGTCAGCAAGAACCAGGAGTTGTTATCCATGGGCCGCCGGGAGGCCAAGCTGGACACGGAGAACAAGCGGCTGCGGGCCGAGCTGCAGGTAATGCTGTGCCCGGGCACTCACCGGAGATGACCGCGACACCTGGGAACTGAGGCCCGGGGCCGTCTGCCCACCGCCCCGCAGCCGCATGGCGGCACTGCCAACTGGACCCTGAACGCCTGACTTCGTCCCTTGTCCGTCCTGTCTCATTTCCAAACCAAGAAGTTTTGAAAGTTAAGCAGAAACTGCTCTGCATTTTACTTTGAGAGAACACACTGCCTTGCGGTCTAAACTGATTCTTTAACAACCACCGCCTCCCCCCACTTTTCTGTCTTTGGGCCATTCATTCAGACACCTTGAAGCTTTTAGCCCGGAGCAGCAAATGCTCGGGCCTTCCCTGGTAGCTCAGATGGTAAAGAAAAGTGAAAGCGAAAGTCTCTCAGTCGTGTTCGACTCTTAGTAGTCCATGGAATTCTCAAGGCCAGAGTAATGGAGTGGGTAGCCTTATCCCTTCTCCAGGGGATCTTCCCAACTCAGGGGTCGAACCGAGGTCTCCTGCATTGAGGGTGGATTTTTTTTTACTAGCTGAGCCACAAGAGAAACTCAAGAATACTCGAGTGGGTAGCCTATCCCTTCTCCAGGGGATCTTCCTGACCCAGGAATCGAACGGGGTCTCCTGCACTGCAGGCTGATTCTTTACCAACTGAGCTATCAGAGAGGCCCTGGTAAAGAATACGCCTGCAATGCAGGAACCCCTGGTTGGATCCCTAGTTCGGGAAGATCCCCTGGAGGAGGGTATGGCAACCCACTACAGTATTCTGACCTGGGGAATCCCCATGTACAAAGGAGCCTGGCGGGCTATAGTTCATGGGGTCGCAAAGAATCGGACACGACTCAGCGACTAAGCACAGAGCAGCACCAAATGCTAATCTCCAGGGAAGTAGGTCTGCCAGGACCACACAGATGTGCAAAAGACTTTGGTGACATCTGTTGAGGCAGCTGATTAAACCCTTCCTAGGCGTTTAAAACCCCACCCCCCAGATGCAATTGCAGCAGGGCAGAGTGCATTAAGGGATGACATATGTTCCAGTCCCAGGTTATTTCTGTTACCAATCCTGATTCCTTATGTAACCTTTTTTTATTCCTTTTTCATGTACCTAGGCATTAAAACACACACACACACACCCTATATTTATTTAATCCATTCAATCAGACATTTACTGAAGACCTGCAATGTATCAGCCTTGGAGCTAGCAAGAGGAGTGAGACATGGAGCCAAAGAGTGCACAGTCTCATAGAAATAATTATCCATCAGGTTAAACCTTATAAATTGTGATTTTGTTCTCTTAAAGGTGGGAAAACTGAGTTGTAGTGAAGATTCAGAACTGGTGCAGTATTTCAAAGAAAAAGTATTAATTTCCATTGAAAGCTTAATGTTGAATATCTTCATTTATAATTCAAGCATATTTGCAGGGTTTTTTTCCCATTATATGTTTGAATAGAATGGCAGTATGCAGTGAAAAACTGCAGGAGTATACTGGTGAAAAACTAAGTAGACTGTTCATATTCTGAGATATGTAATATGTATATGAGAGTGTTGGTTGCTCAGTCATAACTGACTACCCCATGGACTATAGCCTGCAAGTCTCCTCTGTCCATGGAATTCTCCAGGCAGGAATACTGGAGTGGTTTGCCATTTCCTTCTCCAGGGGATCGTCTGGACCCAGGGATCGAACCCAGGTCTTCCCACATTGCGGGCAGATTTTTTACCTTCTGAGCCACCAGGGAAGCCCAATATGCATATAACATAATGTAAAATTTGGGAGGCATGCTATTTTTGTTAGAAATAACAAGGTAAATTATTCCAGGCACTTCAAAAAACTTACCAGAAGATACTTCGGGAAAAGGAAAGTGCTTTAGAAGCAAAATACCAAGCAATGGAGAGAGCAGCTACATTTGAACATGACAGAGATAAAGTTAAGAGGCAATTTAAGGTAAATTTCATACATCTTTATCCCCAAAGTGACAGGGAATAAAGCAATATATTTTAAAAGTTCATATAATACTGTGATGAGTAAATAGAAGTAAATGATGTAGAAGTCATGAAAGGTATAAGAACTAAACTCTTATAAAAAGTAAATACTTTTTACTTTTGAAGTATTTGAGTTGGACCAGGTAAACTTGAGATAGTTTCAAAGAAAAAGTATAAAAGTGAACATTTTAATAGGGGGGAAGGGGAAGGAAAGTGTTTGTATTAGGGGAGGACATTTAGAAATATTTGGGGACGTGTCCTTTGGGAGAGCATTACTGGCAATAAGTGTGCATGCTAAGTCGCTCCAGTTGTGTCTGACTCTTTGTGACCCTATGGACTGTAGTCCACCAGACTCCTCGCTCGATGGGATTCTCCAGGCAAGAATCCTGGAGTAGGTAACCATGCCCTCCTCCAGGAGGGCAATAAGTGGGAGGGGGACAAATTTGCTAAACATCAGGCAGCACACACGGCAGCCCCACACCTTAGATATATCCTCCTAGAATTCCATTGGGTTCCAGTTACAGAACAGTGACATAGAGGTATTCACCTTACAGAAGAGGAGATCAAGGACCAAATGAATATTGATTTTATGAATGAAAGAATTTTCCCTTAAAAGTTGATGACATCACTTTTTGCTTAAGGAAAAGGATTTCAAAATTAAAATACATCTTTTAAAGATTTTTAGGGAGACCAAGGAAAATGAAATTCAGGATTTATTGAGGGCCAAGAGAGAGTTGGAGAGCAAACTTCAGAGGCTACAGGCTCAGGGGATCCATGTATTTGATCCCGGAGAGTCTGATTCAGATGACAACTGTACAGATGTTACTGGTAAGTTTATTTCCTGTTTATAATGTCTTGAGATATCAATATATTAATAGGTGTAATGATTGTAAAGCCAACTTTGAATCCTTGTACTCGTAAGTAATTGCTGTTACAAATAGAGTTGCTCTTTCTCTTTCTCATAACAGGTCTTTTCTATGAAGTCCATAGTGTAGAAGCTGAGGTTCCTTCTATCTTGTTGCTCTGCCAACCTTAACCCATAGCTTTTCTCTCTCTGGTCTAAGATAGCCCCTCCAAGTCCCCTCATATCTACAATTTAGCTAGAGAGAGTGGAGGAGTACATTACTTTCCTTGAAAGCACAATCTGAAAGATATACACATTACTCCTACTCAAACCCCATTGGCCTATACCTTCCTCAAACCACATGCAGGCCTATACCTTCCTATACCTAGGAAGATGGGATAATGTAATTACTAGTAAGAGAGTCATGTATGCACATAAAGTTTGGGGTTGTGTCATTAAAGAAAGAAGGGGAGAATGGATGTTGGAGAACAGTTAGTCGTCTCTGTCACATTTTTCCACATTTTCCTGTATTCTTGCAGCTATCAGAATATCTACATAATGTTTCATTAAGTGGTTTCCAATACAGTTTTTTGAAATATTTTAAAGTTTTTGTTTTATAATTAAGTATATTAAATGTTTTTCTAGAAATAAAGAAAAACTCAGAATCATAGAATGAAAATGTCCACTATGTTAATAGGAAATAATGAAGTGTGATTGACATTGAACAATATTCTATTTTAAGTGTAGTGGGAAAATGCAGTCACTCTCCCATTTATAAAAAAAACTGTAATTGTATTCTTCCAAATTAATGTATTTTGGAGTGAAATATGGCAATTGATAATCCCCTCTTAATTTGAATTTTAGTACCATTGAAATCCGACCAGCATTCTGAGACTTTTATTACTAACTTTTGAGGAAAAAAAGGTGAACAGATTCTTAATGGCTTATTATGACTAAGACATTAGTCTTAGTGATTATTTCAGTGCTGACATATGTTAAAATATACAGTGTTTCAAAACTATTATATTCTAATTCTCTTGGCAAGTTAATAAAAACAAATTAATATTTCCTCCTAGGTCTTTCTTCCTATTTTGATATAAACATGAAGAAGGAATGTTTGAGGGAATATTGCTCATTATTTGTCACCTACAAATAATAATCAGTTTTGCCAGAGATTTTCGCACAAATACCAGTTTACTTAAGTTTAGTCAAGGACTCCATGTGATAGCAAATATTACTTATTTTTAAAATGTGTGTTAGTAAGTACTCATTAATTCAGACATTAATTTTGTTCCTCTGGGAGGTTAAAGAGAATGTACTCTTTACATCCTTAGCTTATATCCTAATGAATTACCAATATTAATTACTGGTGTGCCAGTAATAGTCTTCCTTTGAAATTCTTCCCTTCAAATTTTACACTGTTACCTAAATCATATGGTTAGAAAAAAAAGTTTTTTAGAAATTTTGGTTGGGGAGCGTTTTTAATTCCTCTCTGTTATTATCATTTCTTTGGTTATTGTATTCCTAATTTCTTTTCATCTTTCTCTCTTTAATCCCCCTTTTTAAGATTGAGATAACCAAAACTGTGTTAACTACCACCTTAGAACATGCCAGAAGTTGGTGGCAAAGCACTTTCAGAATTACTCTTTTGATTTCAAAATCAAAGTTTGAATATTTGTTGTATTCATAATCTTATAGTACTTTTTTGGATTAGAAATTCTGTTGAGTATATTTGATAAGGTTTTGAAGTTTCAATATTATCTGGTTTTCATCAGATGAAATCTGCTTTACAGCTGCTGGAACCCAGTGTGAATATTGGACTGGTGGAGCCTTGGGAAGTGAGCCTTCTATAGGGAGTATGATCCAGCTTCAGCAATCCTTCCGGGGCCCTGAGTTCGCCCACAGTTCTATAGACGTGGAAGGACCCTTTGCTAATGTCAACAGAGGTAACACATGCCATTTGCTAATTAGCTTAGTTGATGGTAATGACTGTTTGTGTACTACAGTCTTGTGCTGGGAGAACCGCCATCAGCGGAGCGTGAGACTTGTTTTCTGGGTGTCTTCCTCTGTCAGGCCATTATGTTCTGATACTTGTCACTGACCAGGAAGGATGAAGTTACATAATTCACATCAGGATCAGATGGTGTCCCCCAGCCTGTCTGACCAATAAGTTCTAATAACTGAAATTTTGGTCTGGATTCTCAGGTATTTTAGTTGAGTAGTGAGAGTTTAATGTAGATCAGCTGAAAAACAGTAGTTTTCAGTCTTTTGCATCTCTGATGGTGTTGAAAAGTTATGTGTGCTAAGTCACTTCAGTCACATGAGCACCCTATGGACTGCAGCTTGCCAGGCTCCTCTGTCCATGGGATTATCCAAGCAAGAATACTGTAGTGGGTTGCATGCCCTCCTCCAGGGGATCTTCCTGATCCAGGGATAGAGTCTCATGTCTCCCGCACTGGCAGGCGGGTTCTTTACCAATAGCGCCACCTGGGAAGCTCAGTTTTATTCATTATCTTTGTATAATTTGGTATTCAAAACAGCCCTGAAGATCTGTTCAGAATTTCAGTACCACAGCAGACCTGAGATACTATAAGCAGCAGATTATTTTCTTAAAACTATGAAATTATTTATCTATTAGCAAAATGAAAATTATTTTTTAAATAATGCATTTTCAATTAGTCAAGTATGTCTTAAAATATTCATTCTCACTATCTTTAGGTTACTTTTCATTTTATACCATTCTTGAACTTTCTTTTTGACTCAGTATATTTCAAGAATAATAAACAAGTAAAACCAGTCTGGGAACATAGGCCTTCCTCAAGTTACAAACTAATTGAACAACCCATGTGGCCTAGTTCCCTGACATTTGACTGGAGCCATGGGTACCTCAGCAGAGACCACTGGTGACTTTGATTGCTCTAAACCCCAGGATAGAATTTGGGATTAGAGAACTGATTGCCTTCCAATATGTTATTCTAGAAGTTATGTCAGTATTACAAGTGAGATAAGATATCATTCTATGATGTCTGTTGTGTTGTTTCAGACTTTCAGGCATCTTGTCATATGGCCTTCTAATAATTCTTTTGGGGAACTTATGAGAAATTTTATTTTCAGATGACTGGGATATTGCTGTGGCTAGTTTATTGCAAGTTACCCCCTTGTTTTCACATTCTCTATGGAGTAACACTGTCAGATGTTACCTCATTCATACAGATGAAACCCAGCCTGAAATGGATCTTTTCCTTAAGGTGAGGACATTTATAAATTTTGTATTCACTGATTTAAAATGCAAGTTAATATTGTGTTCTGGTTATGATACTACTGCATCTGAACCAGATAGTTTACTACATACAAGATTACATCTTAAAGAATAGGAAGCATCTTGGGCTTTTCTTAAGAAAATGTCTTAGTATTTTCAATATATTCAAATTAAGCCCTTGGAACTTTATGCTTTTGAATGCTTTATTACACATTCTCCACTGTGTTTAGCTGTGCCTGCTTTAGTTAATCCCTGCCAGCCCTATTCTTGAATCTGTTTCAGGTTATAACAAAGTTTAATCCTTGTCATGATCTTCAATTTTTCACAGCAGCTACTGGGGTTAATCTAAGGCAGGGGTCAGCAAACAAAAGCCTGTTGGCCAAATCTGGCCTGAAGTCTGTTACTGTGTACCTAAAGCTAAGATTGGTTTCTGCATTTTTAAATGATTGAAAAAGAAATCAGAAGAAGAATATTTTGATGTGAAAATCATATGAAATTCAAATTTTGTTGTCTATAAATTTTTATTAGAACATAACAACACACAGCATATTGTGTCTGGTTGCTTCACATTAATAGCAGAATAAAATTATAGTGGCACCTAAATGCACCACAAAAACCTCTGCCAAAACAGGCAGATTCTTAAACTATTATTAATTTGCCACCTGGCTCTTCACAGAAAAGTTCACCAACTACCATTCTAACTGAATTTTCAATAAATATGTGTGGCACATGCAATACCTTCAATATTAACATCCTCCAGATTGTTGATTAATAAGTCCATTTAGCTTTCCTTTTTGATATTACTCAATTTTGGTAAACAGATGAAGTATTTTGAAAACCAAAGCTTCTACTCACTAACTGGGTATACATTATTCCCAAATACATGTTGAAGGAATTACTAATTTATTGCATAGTAATAATCAACATTACTAAGTAAGTTAATTTCTTATCAGTTCAGTTGCTCAGTCGTGTCCAACCCCATGGACTGCAGCATGCCAGGCCTCCCTGTCCATCACCAACTCCCAGAGTTTACTCAAACTCATGTCCACTGAGTCGGTGATGACATCCAGCCATCTCATCCTCTGCTGTCCCCTTCTCTTGCCTTCAGTCTTTCCCAGCATCAGGGTCTTTTCAAATGAGTCAGCTCTTTGATAATTTGTAATAGGCCAGCATATTTTTATTTTATATCTGTTTCCTTTAGTGTTCATGGCAGACACTTTTTACTATATAAATCTGTGGATTTATGTTTTCGCCCTATAACAATAAACAGAAGTTATTTGTAAGAATAATAATAAAAATATATACCACAGCAAAATAACTTAATACTGTACTCTTGTTGTTTTAAGTTTTATTATGAGATAAATCATTTTCTGAACTAGGAAACAGCCAAACTGCTAAGCTATTACTATTTTCATTTTGTAAAGAAATTTGCCTTTCCTCTATGAAAGAGTTTTTTAAATGTGATTATGATTTTTTTAGTTTTAAATCAGAGAATATCCAACATAACCTGTGATAAAGCATGTTTTTCAATTTTTAGTATGAAGCTGACTAGATCTTTAGTTAAATAAGCTGTGCTATCTTATGTTTCAATTTGTTTTTAGGATTACTCACCTAAACTTAAGAGAATGTGTGAGACAATGGGATATTTTTTCCACGCTGTGTATTTTCCAATCGATATTGAAAATCAATACCTCGCTGTAAGAAAATGGGAAATTGAGAAAAGTTCATTAGTTATCTTATTCATTCATTTAACCTTACCAAGGTAAGCTGAAAATTCTGTAATTTATTATAGGGGTTAAACTTGTAAACAGAATTAAATTTGCCAAATGAACTTGAAACATAAGTTCTAATTGCATTCTTTTTTTTTAAACTTATTTATTTTTCAATTGAAGGATAACTGCTTTACAGAATTTTGTAGTTTTCTGTCAAACCTCAACATGAATCAGCCATAGGTGTATATATATTTCCTCCCTTTTGAACCTCCCTCCCATCTCCTTCCCCATCCCACCCCTCTAGGTTGATACAGAGCCCCTGTGTGAGTTTCCTGAGACATACAGCAAATTGCTGTTGGCTATCTATTTTACACATGGTAATGTAAGTTTCTGTGTTACTCTCTCCATACATATCACCCTCTCCTCCCCTCTCCCCATGTCCGTAAGTCTATTCTCTATGTCTGTTTCTCCACTGCTGCCCTGCAAATAAATTCTTCAGTACCGTTTTTCTAGATTCCATGTATATGTGCTAGAATATGATATTTATCTTTCTCTTTCTGACTTACTTCACTGTGTATAATAGGCTCTAGGTTCAGTTCATCCACCTCATTAGAACTGACTCAAATGTGTTCCTTTTTATGGCTGAGTAATATTCCATTGTGTTATATGTATAAAAAGTAATAGATACTTCTTTATCCATTCATCTATCATTGGACATCTAAGTTGCTTCCATGTTCTAGCTATTGTAAATAGTGCTGCGATGAACACTGGGGTATATGTGTCCTTTTCAGTTTTGGTTTCCTTAGGGTTTATGGATAGGAGTGGGATTGCTGGGTCATATGGTGGCTTTATTCCTAGTCTTTTAAGGAATCTCCATACTGTCTTCCATAGTGGTTGTATCAATTTACATTCCCACCTACAGTGCAAGAGCATTTCCTTTTCTCCACATCCTCTCCAGCATTTATTATTTGTAGACTTTCTGATGATGGCCATTTGACCAGTGTGAGGAGATATCTCATTGTAGTTTTGATTTGCTTTTCTCTAATAATGAGCGATGTTGAGCCTCTTGTCATGTGGTTGCTAGCCATCTGTATATCTTCTTTGGAGAAATGTCTGTTTAGGTCTTCTTCCCACTTTTGGATTGGGTTGTTTGTTTTCCTGGTATTGAGTTGTATGAGCTGCTTGTATATTTTGGAAATTAATCTTTTTTCAGTTGTTTCATTTGCTATTATTTTCTCCCATTCTGAGGGTTGTCTTTTCACCTTACTTATAGTTTCCTTTGCTGTGCAAAAGCTTTTAAGTTTAATCAGGCCCCACTTGTTTATTTTTGTTTTTATTTCCATTACTCTTCCTAGAGTGGGTCATAGAGGATCTTGCTTTGATTTATGTCATCGAGTGTTGTGGCTATGTTTTCCTCTAAGAGATTTATAGTTTCTGATCTTACATTTAGGTCTTTAATCCATTTTGAGTTTATCTTTGTGTATGGTATTAGGAAGTGTTCTAATTTCAGTCTTTCACAGGTAGCCGTCCAGTTTTCCCAGCACCATTTATTGAAGAGGCTGTCTTTGCCCCATTGTATATTCTTGTCTCCTTTGTCAAAAATAAGGTACCCATACATGTGTGGGTTTATTTCTGGGCTTTCTATCTTGTTCCATAGGTCTATATTTCTGTTTTTGTGCCAGTACCATACTGTCTTGATGACTGTAGCTTTGTAGTATAATCTGAAGTCAGGAAGGTTGACTCCTCCAGCTCCATTTTTCTTTCTCAAGACTGCTTTGGCTATTCAGGGTCTTTTGTATTTCCATATGAATTGTGAAATTTTTTGTTCTAGTTCTGTGAAAGATGCCATTGGCAATTTGATAGGGATCACATTGAATCTGTGGATTGTGTTTGGTAGTATAGTCATTTTCATAATATTGATTCTTCCTACCCAGGAGCATGGAGTATCTCTCCATCTGTTTATGTCATCTTTGATTTCTTTCATCAGTGTCTTATAATTGTTTGTGTACACTTCTTTTGTCTCTTTAGGTAAGTTTATTCCTAGATATTTTATTATTTTGTTGAAATGGTGAATAAGATTGATTCCTTAATTTCTCTTTCTGATTTTTCATTGTTAGTATATAGAAATGCAAGTGATTTCTGTGTATTGATTTTGTATCCTGTGACATTGCTAAATTCACTGATTAGCTCTGGTAATTTTCTGATAGTATCTTTAGGGTTTTTTATGTACAGTATCATGTCATCTGCAAACAGTGAGAGCTTTACTTCTTCTTTTCCAATCTGGATTCTTTTTATTTCTTTTTCTTCTCTGATTGCTGTAGCTAGGACTTCCAAAGCTATGTTGAATAACAGTGGTGAAAGTGGACACCCTTGTCTTATTCCTGATTTTAGGGGGAATGCTTTCAGTTTTTTACCATTGAGAATGTTTGCTGTTGGCTTATCATATATGGATTTTACTATGTTGAGGTAGGCTCTTTCTACGCCTATTGTTTGAAGAGTTTTAATCATAAATGGGTGCTGAATTTTGTCAAAGGCTTTTTCTGCATCTATTGAGATTATCATATGGTTTTTATGTTTCAGTTGGTTAATATGCTGTATCATGTTGATTGATTTGTGTATATTGAAGATTCCTTGCATCCCTGGAATAAACCCACCTTGATCATGGTGTATGAGCTTTTTAATGTGTTGCTGAATTCTGTTTCCTAAATTTTGTTGAGAATTTTTGCGTCTATGTTCATCAGTGATATTGGCCTGTAGTTTTCTTTTTTGGGGGGTTGTCTTTGTCTGGTTTTGGTATCAGGGTGATGTTGACCTTGTAGAAGGAGTTTGGAAGTCTTCCTCTGCAATTTTTTGAAAGGGTTTTAGAAGGATAGGCATTAGTGCTCCTCTAAATGTTTGATAGAATTCTCCTGTGAAACCATCTGGTCCTGGGCTTTTGTTTGGGGAGATTTTTGATCACAGCTTCAATTTCAGTGCTTGTAATTAATTGGCTTATTCATAATTTCTGTTTCTATTCTAAGAATCTGTCTATTTCTCCCAGGTTATCCATTTTATTGGCATATAGTTGTTCATAATAGTCTCTATAATTCTTTGTATTTCTGCATTGTCTGTTGTAAGCTCTCCTTTTTCATTTCTAATTTTGTTGATTTGATTCTTCTCTCTTTTATTCTTGATGAGTCTGGCTAAAGGTTTGTCAATTGTGTTTATCTTTTCAAAGAACCTGCTTTTAGTTTTATTAATCTTTACTATTGTTTCTTTCATTCCTTTCTCATTGATTTCTGCGCCGATCTTTATGATTTCTTTCCTTCTGCTATGTTTGGGGGTTTTTTGTTGTTGTTGTTGTTGTTGTTCTTTTTCCAGTTGTTTTAGGTGTAAAGTTAGGTTGCCTAGTCAATGTTTTTCTTGTTTCTTGAGGCAGGATTGTATTGCTATAAAATTCCCTCTTAGCACTGCTTTTGCTGCATCCCATAGGTTTTGAGTTGTCATGTTTTCATTGTCATTTGTATCTAGACATTTTTTTATTTCCCTTTTGATTTCTTCAGTAAACTGTTTGTTATTTAGAAACATATTGTTTAATCTTCATGTGTTTGTATGTTTTACTTTTTTTTTCTTGTAATTGATATCTAGTCTCATAGCATTGTAGTCAGGACTCTTGACATGACTTCAGTTTTCTTAAATTTACTGAGGTTTGATTTGTGACCCAATATGTGATCTATCATGGAGAATGTTCCATGTGCAGTTGAGAAGAAGGTATATTCTTCTGAATTTGGATGGAATGTCCTAAAGATATCAGTGAGATCCATCTCATCTAATGTATCATTTAAGACATGTTTCCTTATTAATTTTTTGTTTTGATGATCTGTCCACTCTTGTGAGTGGGGTGTTAAAGTCTCCTACAAAAGTAGTTGTATTATTGTGTTATTGTCAGTTTCTCCTTTTATGTGTTAGTGTTTGTCTTACATATTGAGGTGCTCCTATGTTGGGTGCATAGATATTTACAACTGTTATATCTTCCTCTTGGATTGATCCCTTGATCATTATGTAGTATCCTTCCTTATCTCTTGTAATATTCTTTATTTTAAATTCTATTTTGTCTGAGATGAGGATGTTACTCCAACTTTATTTTGTTTTCCATTTGCATGGAAAATATTTTTCCATCCTCTCAGTTTCAGTCTATATGTGTCTTTAGGTCTGAAATGTGTTTCTTGTAAACAACATATAAATGGGTCTTGTTTTTGTATCCACTCAGCCAGTTTGAATGGATTGGAGCATTTAATCCATGGTGGTTTGAATTGGTGGTACTGAATTCTCTTAAATTTTGCTTGTCTGTAAAGCTTTGGATTTCTCCATCAGTTTTGAATGAGATCCTTGCTGGGTAGAGTAATCTTTGTTGTAGATTTTTCCTTTTTCAGTACTTTTAATATATCCTGCCATTCCCTTATGGCCTGTAGAGTTTCTGCTGAAAGATCACCTGTTAAACATATGGGGTTTCCCTTGTATGTTACTTGCTGCTTTTCCCTTGCTGATTTTAATATTCTTTCTTTGTGTTTAATCTTTATTACTTTGATTAGTGTGTGTCTTGGCGTGTTTCTCCATGGATTTATCCTGTATGGGACTCTTTGCACCTCTTGGACTTGATTGACAAACCCTTTTCCATGTTGGGGAAATTTTCAACTCTAATCTCTTCAAAAATTTTTTCATACCGTTTCCTTTTCTCTTCTTCTTCTGGAACCCCTATAATTTGAATGTTAGTGTGTTTGATATTGTCCCAGAGGTCTCTGAGACTACCCTCAGTTCTTTTCATTCTTTTTACTTTATTCTGCTCTTCAGAAGTTATTTCCACCATTTTATCTTCTAGTGCACTGACTCCTTCTTCTGCTTCAGATAGTCTGCTATTGATTCCTTCTATTTTTAATTTCAGTAATTGTGTTGTTTGTCTCTGTATGTTTATTCTTTAATTCTTCTAGGTCTTTGTTCATTGATTCTTGCATTTTCTCTCTTCTGTTTTCAAAGTTTTTGATCATCTTTACTATCATTATTCTGAATTGTT